TAGAATACAAACTTTATCTCTATAGTATAAGCATCCATCCAACTTTACTTCAAAGTCCTTAATTTCACCTTTAACCTATTGTTCAATCATTGCCAATCACTTATCATCTTTCTTTTGAAATTCCCTAATTCAGTCCAAGAGCAAAAGTTTTAATTTTAACTCAGCTACTAGAACACCATTTTCCTTCAATGCGAGTCAGGTATCTAACACACGTAGAGCTGCAAAAGTCTTTAGGCTAAGAGCATCTGCTACCACGTTAGCTTTCCCAGGATAATAATTTATTATCGCATAGTAGTCTTTAAGTAGCTCGATCCACCTTCTTTATCTTAGGTTAAGCTCTTTTTGAGTTAGCAGATCTTCAAGCTTTTATGGTCTGAGTAGATGTAGCAATGCTCATCATATAAGTAGTGTCACCATATCTTCAGAGCAAACATTATTGCCACCAATTCCATGTTATACGTCGGATAGTTCTTCTCGTATATTTTGAATGACCTCGATGCATATGCCACCACTTTATCTTCTTGCATCAATACACATCCCAAGCCATTTTGGGACGCGTCATTATAAACCACATAATCCTTTACAGATTCTGGTTGAATCAATACCAGAGCTTCTTTCAAAATTTGCTTTAAAGTTTTAAAACTCTTTTGACATTCAGGGGTCCAAGTAAAGGATACAGTTTTCCTTAACAACTTGGTCAAAGGCAAAGATATCATCGAAAAGTTCTTAACGAACCTCCGATAATAACTTGAAAGACCTAGGAAACTCCAAACTTCTGATACATTCATCGAAATTTCCCAATCTAAAATACATTTTACCTTCTAAAGATCCACCCGAATCCCCTCTATAGAAACCATATATTCAAGAAATATTATTTCTAATAACCAAAACTCGTACTTTGATAGTTTAGCATAAAGCCTCTTATCTTGTAGTGTTTGAGGAATCACCCTCAGATGAGTGTCATGCTCCTCATTTGTCTTTTAATACACCAAAATATCATCAATAAAGACGATCACAAAATGATTGAGATAGGGCTGAAACACTCTATTCATGAGGACCATAAACGCAGCAGGTGCATTTGTTAACCCAAACGACATAACTACAAATTCATAATGACCATATCACGTCCTAAATGCTATTTTTACAATGTTTTTCTCTTGAATCTTCAACTGGTGATAACCAGAATGCAAATCAATCTTGGAAAACACCAAAGCTCCCTTTAAATGATCAAACAAATTGTTGATTCTTGGGAGAGGATACTTATTCTTTATGGTCACCTTATCGAGTTACCGATAATTAATGCAAAGACGCGTAGATCCATCTTTCTTCTTTACAAATATAACCGACGTACCCCAAGGTGAAACACTGGTGAATCCTTTATCAAAAAGCTATTGCAACTGAGTCTTTAACTCACTCAGTTCTTTCGGGGCCATTCGATAAGGGGCCATCGAGATTGGTGACGATCCTGGAAAAAGCTCAATTTGAAACTCTATCTCCCTATCAAGAGGTAATCCTGGTAATTCCTCAGGAAAAACTTCTGGAAACTCTTGGACAGTCGGAATGTCTTCCAATCTTCTTCCATTGGCTTGAGTATCAATCACATTAGCGATGAAAGCTTGACATCTTTGTATCATTAACTTCTTAGTTGACATTACCCATATCACATTAGCTAAGGGGTTGAGTCTCCCACTAACCACACTAACTTTTGATCTATCGAAACTTCTCAAAAGAACTCGCTTTAATCGACAATCAACATTGTCGTGGTAATAATACAACCAATCCATTCCTAATATAATCTCAAACTCATCAAAGGGTAATTACATTAGATTAACAGAGAATTTAATTCCTTGAATCCTTATAGAACACCCTTGACCAATTTGTTTCACCCGAGCACTATGCCTTAATGGGTTAGTCACAATCACTTCACTACTAATATGTTTTAACTGAATTTTTAAATCTTTCACCACTTTACTACTAAAATAAGAGTCATTTGATCCCGGATCAATCAAAACTAAAACAGGTTTGCCAGCTAATTGAAAAGTATCTGTGATGATTTCAGGATCATCATAATCTACACTGGTCTTAGGGTTGTACACTCGAGCAGTAGAGCACACTTCAGGTCGAGTGGTCGACTCAGACTGATTTCTTTATCGACCTCGTCCTCTACCTCTTAAAGGTGAAACATCGGATATTTCTGTTTGGCCAGGCTCTGCGATCATTATTGGGTAGTCTCGGATAAAATGTCCTGCCTCTCCGCACTTAAAACAAGCTCATGAGACTCTTCGACATACGCCACTATGTTGTTTTCCACAATACTGGCATTAATTTGACTTTTTCACTCATGATTCTATTGATTGAATCTATTTGGCTCTTATAGAATTGGATCCTCTACCTGAAGATACAGTGACTCTGATCTAGTCTGAGGTCGAAAACTTAAACTTTGAATTTATTTCAATTACGATGCACTTGACGAGGCACCATCTCTCTTATTTCATTGAGTCTTTTGCTTCCCAAATCTCTCATTTTGAGCTCACTCCAGGGCTTTGACTTGTTTTACTACCTCTTGGAATGAAGAGAGATTTAGTGCTAATAACAACTCTTTCAATTGAGGGCGTAAACCCTCACTACAAGAAAATATACCTTTAATAACACACGAACGATGACACACGCTAATTTATGACTTACAAAAAATGTGTGTCATAAAAAAAATATATAATGTTTCTTAAAATCTAAACGATTTATGACTTACAATAATGTGTGTCATATTTAATAGTCATAATCCAAAAAATTTAGCAAATACACGGAGTACACTTTTCATTGTGTGTCATCTCTAAAAGTCGTCTTTTAATTTCCCCCATAATTTTCATCACGTACGCATACTTTCCCGCTTTTAAAATTCGTCTTTTAATTTCCCCCCATAATCTTCTCTTTGATTACAACGCAGATGAAGGGTCTCTAGTGATCTCACGCGAATTAAACTCTTCCTCGTTCGTCATTCATGCACGCATGCATTTTTTTTTATTTTGCTTTAGTATTCAGCTTCAGCGACCAAAAACCCTAATTAATTCTCCGTTTTCTCGATTTCACATCTCGCTCTCTAGTGGTTTCATGTGAATTAAATGCATGTAGTTTATTTTTATTTAATTTTTCTTCCTTTTGGTTTAGAAATTATGAGATAATCCATGAGTCCACTATTACATGTTTGGTATCTTAATTCTCCGCTTCTAAGATTTGTGAATTACAATTCATATTTCAGGAAGTTCAAAACTCTACTTTTTTTCTTCTTCATTAAGGCTGGTCCAATAATGGAGTCTGAAATGCAAAATGGTATGAAACAACAAACCCCAACGCAGAGGATACAAATATACCCACCCACTACCACTGGAGTTTTCCCCTTTTGGATAGGTGCTCAAATTAGATCTCTTTTACTCATAGTTATGGGCCTGCATTGAGTCGATACTGTTGGGACCGTCGGCGCACCCCATGGCGTAGCGGAAACAAAACTCAACGGTTTCACCAGTGATCCAAGTACGAAAAACTGAAATCGGGACGAAGAGATGCGAATACTTACATTGGGTTCCTTGAAAAACAGCAAGGAGAACAGTGAATATTGGTTGTGTAGATCGGTTTGAATCTTAAGCCTCCACGAAATCACGTCTCGGCCTCTACTCATTTCACCTGATTGAGAGCAATCTTTGTTTTCCCCAAAACTCTTTTGAGAGAAAATGGCTGAAGGTTTTGAGTGTGTGTTGTCCAATGGCTGCTAGACCTAACACACCCTTTTATAGCCAAGTTACCCTAATCATATTAGGGTTTTATTATTTCAAATTAATTAAATCTATATTTAATTAATTGGAATTTAATAATCATCTAATATCCAAGTTACCCTAATCATATTAGGGATTTTATTATTTCAAATTAATTAAATCTATATTTAATTAATTGAAATTAAATATTCAGGATTATTAAAACATATATTTAATTAACTCTAGATATATATATTTTAGTAACGTACAACAATTGTACATATTTGCTCGTTTCAATCCTAGGGTGTGACCTTGTAGGTTCTTGTAACGTTAGCAGTAATTATTAGAACAATTCTAATATTACATAGAATGTGTGACATCTAGCAATATATCATTTTCACTTAAGTTACAAGAAAATATGATTCGACATATCATCTTGGTGATTACTCTTTTATGTATTACATCCTTATGTCCTTTATATCTAGAATAGGCACAAGTCTTGGAATAGTCACACTTGTATAGCCCATCTATTGTTTCTTGATATCTATAGTAGACTTTAATTAACGAATAGCTTATGATATCTCATATCAACTTATTCGAGCATGGTCATGCATTTCTAGTCTTACTCAATCAAGTGGCCTGTGATATATTTCCTATTATGTAGGAAGGACAAATCCTATCTTAATCATACACACCCACTACATATATTGAGATATATTCAATAATAGTCTTTATAGAGCAACCAGTTATGGAGCTTGTTTAGATGCATCAAAACATACAACAATATATGTTGGGATAGTATTGATCTCAAGTATGAGGATCATACATATAGTCATCACCATGAGCAATGTTATGACTGCCACATAATAATCCAAGACATATGCTCATGGTCGGTCAATCCAATATATTGTTCTCTAACAAAATAATCATGTATCAATTCTGACATGTCTATGTCAATAACAACTCATTGTCATCAATCAATAACATGTTAGTCTTAAGCGTATTATTGTTGTTCATGCCCATAATAATACTTGACTAGGGATCTTTTAATAATAACAATTATGTCATTATATGAACTTTATTATCTTTCAGTTTATGTTAAACACATGTATATATATAAATGAAAATAATAGCGGTAATGCCTTTATTCAATAAATTCGGTAAATAAAAGTATTATTACAATCATCATATGATTGATCTTTGGGCATACTCTAACAGATACATGGTTCTTTAAATTTGATCTTTTGTTTTCAACTAAGTATGAAAGAGATGCTAAGAAGTATTGGGATCAGTTCTACAGGCGGCATCAAGATAAAGTTAGTCCTCTTGCGGTTTTGTTTAAGTTGTTTTCACCCCTTTTTATATATACTAAGGCCATTGTTAAGATGTTGTGTTATTACTTAAATGCACTATATCTACTCCCCAAACCCATATTTTGGACTGGCTATTAAATAATGTTAAATGCTATAATAGATACCTAAGGTTGAGGATCTTTTTGTACTAGAAATGGTTGTGACAAACAACAAGGTTCTTTTTGGGATTACTTCGAAAAGCTGCAACTTATATAGAACCACTGCTACAGGAATTTTATTATGTTCTTTGGTTTAGTGATTTTGAAATTGTTTAATTCCTATCGTTTCAGTTTTTTAAAGATCGACACTACCTGGACAAGGAATGGGATCAATACTTCTCTGTGAGTCGAAGCTAACCATTTTCTTCTCTTTGTTTTTGACTTTTTAATTCTTCAAGGTTATTTATTTCCTTTTTTAACTAATTTTTTATTAAATTAGAGAAGCGGAAGAAAAGTTATTTTAGAGGTAAATCACTTAACATTTTCACTTACATATTATCCGTTCAATATCTATTTTGTGGTAAATAAATATATTCCTACTAATACTATTTTCCTGAGTTTGAATCCGTAATACGTTCTCTGTTAATGCTAGGTTATTTGGAAATGGACTTGTTTTAATTGAGTTTGAGTAAATGAGAATAGTGCTAACATTTCTGATTTCCCTATGAATTCTTATTTTATTCCTCTAAATGGTCTGGTAATCTTATTCGAGATGCCCTTATTGTTGAAGCAAATGGTGTGACAAACCTTGTTGAATGTTGGTCACTATATATGGTAGAACTTGACTTTATTGTTCCTTATATTGTGTGTTAAGTAGTTCCCCTTCTTGTCTAAGGTTCTTAAATTCTCATGCAAGGTTTCTATATATTATAGAACTAATGTGACCTTGGTGATCAGGTTGGTTGTGGTACTAAAAATATTATATTCCCTCTAATTGCTACATACCCAGAGGCTTTTGTTTATGCATGTGACTTTTCACAACGCGCAATTAATTTGGTTAAGGTTTAGTTTCTTGTCTTAATTGCTCCATTTTTTATAATAGGAGGCTGAGTTCCTAATATTTGAAAATTCAGTATGAATAGGTATTGTAGCTTGAATGAATTATTTTCCCATATTATTGTAGGTTCATAAATACTTCGCAATGTTGTAACCACTGATGACCTTAGCGAACATATTTCTCCTGCCTTTGTCGTTGTTGTAACCATGGTATTTGGATAATATTTGGATATTTCATTATCTGCCATGAGTGCTCATGTATTTTTTTCTATCAACGATGACTGACATTATGAGTAGATTTTTGTGTTATCTGCAATATCGCCAAAGAAGATGCCTTTAGTCTTACAGAATATCAAAAAAGTTCTCAAGGTCATTGATAATATTTTTGCATAATATCAATATTTATAAATATTTCTTATCTACCTTGCTTTTAAAATTAAGCTTGGTAACTTTCTTCATTTTCAAATTTTTTGTTGTCTTTCTAGCCAAATGGTCATGTGCTGTTCCGAGACTATGTTGTTGGTGACCTTGCTCAGGTTGATCTATGCATATATCGTTTAACACTATTTTAGTAAAATTAATGTGCTAAGATCTTATAATCTGCTAGTATATTCTTGTGATAATATGAGAACATTCTTGTTTTTTTGTTTTCAAATAGACATAGGTGATGGATATTATGTTTGTAAGTTCATGAAAGAGATAGTCGAGAACGGACTTGAAGTGTTGGTCAATAAGAATGTAAGAAAACTTTTCTGATACACATCTGCCATATCATACATACACATTAGTCATACAACTATCATAAAGACTTGAAGTAGGATGTTATTCTAAACAAATTAATGCAAGTACTTGTTAGCAAGACTGAAATATGTGAATTCGTGTCGTGATAATGTATATAATTTATATGGGAAGTTTTACTAATTAAATTTGTAAAATTTATTTTTACATATGCTTCAAAGAATGTATATGTAAAATTGGTTATTTTAGTACTCTTTGATAGTTATATACTTCACTTTAAATAAGTATAATTTATATACTTATTTCATATTTTTTTACTTAGGTTGGCGATGAGAAGGAAGAATACACAGATGATGACATCGATAATATTCGCAAAGAATGGGTATCTTATGTGGCAAACTTTATTATGCCATGATATTTTGTATTGACATATGATTACAATATTTTTGATAACTTAATGTTAATATATTGTACGCAAATGTATTGCTTATATATAATACGATATATAGATTTAGTATTATGAGGCATTAAATGTGATTTAGTTTGATTATTTGTCAATCTACAATTTATATTACGACATACAATCACGACACACGAATGTGTGTCATTTTTTAATGACGTGTGCTTCAATGACACGCAATGTAAGTTGTAAATTGTCATAAATGCGTGTCATAAATTTATGACACATAAATGTGTGTCATCTTCATTTATGACGATGGCTTCAATGACGCGTAATGCGCGTCATAAATGTGTGTCATAAATGCGTGTCATAAATGCGCGTCATATATTTATGACACACAATCACGTGTCATCTGAGATTTATGTCGATGGCTTTAATGATGCGCATTTGTGTGTCATCTGCACCAATCACATGAGTCTTTTTAAGTAGGGACCAACTCTACTACAAATTTGCTCAACTTGTTGAACTCACACTCATACTCATACACATTGTGATTCTCTTGCTTTAAACTCATAAATTCTTGCTTCATCTGACGAATAAATTGATCTCCAATGTACTTGTTCTTAAACTCCTCCAGAAAGAACGACCATGTCACCTGGTCCCTTGTAACTTACATCTTCACATTCATCCACCATATTATGGCTTGACCTCGTAGTAATGAAACTACCCCATCCAGCTTCTCCATTTCAAAACAATGGAGACTCTCTAGCATAATCTTAATGTCGTTAAACCACAGATCAGCAGCAATAAGACCTTCCTCAACTTCTCCTTCAAATTCAGGTGCTCCCAAACTTCTAATCTCCTTAGCCACATTCATCTTAGAAGCTGAGGTAGCATATGGTGGGAAATGCGTCAGAATCGCGTCCAACATCTGGAAAATGTCTCTTGATCTTGTATAGGCACTCCCTGAGGTGTCTGTTCCTCACCTTGCCTACTTGGGGCAGGTGAGTTACTGCTACCTTTATTCATATCTCCCGCTTCACTTCGGGAGCCCTCAAAGTCTGACATCTAATAAGATCAAATCATTATTTTATTAGTAAGGACATCATACTAATTATCTTATTAGATACGAAAAACTTAACTCTTAGTTGGCATGTACACTTTTTAAAACAAAAATGACTTCATTTCGAACTTAAAATCAATTAAATTATAGCTATGATACTATTAAATGTAACACCCCTAACCCATACCCACCCCGGATACGAGTCTTGAATGTCACATTAACTTGTCGAATCCTTGATTCTTAAAAATAGGTAAAAATTTAAACTTTTATTTGTATTTAAAATGGTGGAACCTTTGAATTAAAGTAAATAATAAAAAACACACATTCTCATTTAAATAAAAAACTTAATAATTTACATAAATACAAGAAGTACAAGTTTACAAAATAGATCAGAGCATTACAATTTAAAAACTTGTAGTACATGCCAACAATTTACAAAATAAAAAAACATACATTTTAAATTGTTTGATATGATCTTTATGGGAGTATGCTATCATCGTCTAGCTTCAACCTTATATTTTCTTCAAACCTACGTGTGAAACATTCACACGCTAAGTCCTTGAATTAGTGAGGCAAGTACAAGTCTAATAAAGCATTATATAATAAGTTTTTATTCTCTTCGTATAACACATTTCATAAAAGATTCAATTCTCATCTTGAAGAAAAACTTCACTTTACTTATCACAAGTTTTCCTTGAAACACAACAAATTTTGCCTCACTTGAGGCATTTTTCTCTCAAAAGTAAAATTTTTATTTCACATGATATAATTTCTTTTGAAACTAATTTTGTCTTACTCGAGACAGTTTCCTTTGGAACCCAAAACATTGACATCGTTTCTCTTGAAACAAATTGTGCCTTACTTAAAATTTATTTCTTTTGAAAGTACAACTTCTAACATCATAAATTTTGACCCTTTTGAAAATTTTCCCTTGAAACAAAACTTTGAAAAATCTCTCTTGAGATAAAGATCATTTTTAGTCTCACTTGACATAATATCGATTTCTATAAGTAAAAGATGCACTAGAATGAAAATTGTTGTTTTGTTCCCTTTGACTATTTGTGTCTTTACACTAATGGGCAAAGAGAGGCAATTTTTGACACCATTTTTGTCTAGTTTTTTTATTATTATTATTCAATTTATTTTTATAGGCCCAAAGTACAACCCAATAACAACCCTAATATTACAAAACTTTAAGGCCCATTATGTTACAACTTTTGGCTAACCCTAATTTTATGGTTAGCCACCTACTACCACAACCACATAAGTCGTTAGCTATCCGCGCCACCATCGCCATAAAAAAACATTGTCGCCAACCTTTAACGGAACCATGTCGCAGCCACTTTAGCTGGTCCTTGTTCCACCAAACCAAATAAATCAGAATCATATAAATAACAAAATCAAATCTAACAAATCTAACCACTCCCTAAAAAATTCAGGGAGTCTATACCATCTTAACCGCCCACCATAATCACTCTCCCCAAATATACAAACCATGGATATAACATGCAATCATATAAGAGAAAAAAAGGGATTCCAATAAAGAAAATCGAAAAAAGGAACCATCCCGAGAGAAAGAAAATAAAGAAAAGATAGAGGACTTATCTTCTTCAACACTAGTCGGGGAGTTCGAAGGTCCTGAAGTTGAAGAGGCCAAAGAATTCTTTCATAGATCTATGGTGTTCGGGAAAGTTTTAGGTCAATCGAAGCCCAAATCCGTACTTAGAAAGAGGAGACACTTCGATAGGTGGTCACCTCTTAACTTTTCATTGTCGATGAGCGGTAATCAGAGCTGACCGACTGAGATTCTTATAGTGGAACCATCTGTTTTTGGAAAATAAAGAAAACAAACAAGGGTTTGAGAGAATTCTCTCGATCTGGTTTTAAGTGGGAGAAACAAAATAAATTTTTAAGGTTTCTTAACCCATAAAAGAGGCTTATATACCTAATTCAAAAAGGTGTCGTTTTAGCCTTGGATGCTAAGTGTTTTGGTTAGATGGGATAATAACATATTTAATCCTCGTAACTTTTGTAAACTTTACATTTTAGTCACTAAATGGAGCTTTAATGGTTCTAATTCCTAGTTTTGAATTTTTTCCGCTTATATTTTGGTCACCATGTGATTATTGATTGTTTTGGTTAAATTTCATTTATTAGTAGTTGATTTTTGATTTATTTGGTTTTGGCCCTTCGTGGATATTCTATGGTAGGAAATGCCTAATCCAAGCTTGAGGGTCTATAATCTTGCTTCGTATACATTTTTTGGAAAAATTAATAAATAATTAAATAAAATTGATGTCTTTTAATAATAAGTTATGTCACTTGGTGAACAGACTTAATATTTGGTATAAAATTTCATCAATTCAATTATACCTATTAGTTTTTCAACAAATCTCTTCATCAAAATGTCATAACCTTTTGATTAATTTCCTCTCCCCTTTATATAGGTTAGTTGAGGCACAATCTTAGAAACAACTTTAAGACACAATTCACAAAGTTGAATTAGGAAATCACTTAGAAAATTCCTTTCAAATTCATTCTTTCCGGTGATAGAGAAAGGCAAGATTGAATTCGACTGATCACTACAGTTGTGCTTACTTTTGTGATCGTTTGTTGTTGTATCCTTGGAGACCGACGTCCAGCATTACTCAAAGCACTGAGGAGAGGACAAATCCATCTTAAGGAAACTGTTCGTACAGGCCTCAACAAAA